GGGCGGGGAGTCTGGAGGCCCCGCCTCCCCCCACCCCCACCCGCAGAGGCACCCTGGCTCACCACCGTCTCCACTGCTTGCCCTCAGGCCCCTGCGGATTGTCCTGGCTGTGCCCTCTCCCATTGCCGCCTGGGTCTGGCTGTCCTTCCTGCCATGCTTGTCTGTACCCCCTCTATTCCGTCTTCTCACATTCATTCAACACACCTCTTCTTGAACACTTTCCGAGCCCAGGGAGGTGGGGTGGGCCAGCCCACTGCTCTCCCTGGCGCAGCAGTCCCGAGAAAGTGGCCAGCCCGCAAAGCCTGTAGTGCCAAATGAGATGAGCATCTTGGATGTCACCCACTGGATGCCAACTCAAGAGACCCAGTGACAAAATACTGCCCCACAGGACGTCCTAGGTTGTAATCTGCTCGTCCACAGCACCAGTAAATAGATTCAAGCTAGCACCCGGAGTGCTGAACCGTGGGATCCTGCTCAGGCAAGGGCATTGGTATGGAGTCCTTGAGGGGAGGTGCCCCAAGGGTGGGGCCTGAGTCATCTGGCAGGCAGAAAAGAGAGGGTATGAGTTTGAAGGTCTGAAGGTACAACCAGCTGGCTGGACGCCAGGGAAGGTTGGTTTTTGAAAGTGGCAAGGCCAGCAGGGTGGAGTATGCCTGGTCTGTGGGGGCTGGAGGTGGCCTGGTAGCACCGTGGGTTATGCACTGGGCTGCTTGAATCCACTAGCTGCCCCAGAGAAAGCTGGGCTTTCTGCTCCTTGAAAGGATTGACAGCCTGGGGAACCCCAGGGGGCAGTTCTGCCCTGTCCCATAGGCTGACCAGGGCTCTGAATGGACTGCCTGAGGGTTGCATGTTCCTGATTCACTGAATTGAGTAGGCACATGTTGCTTCTCTGGGGGTGCCCCCATTTTCTTCAGGACATCCTTGGAGGGCTCACTTCCCCACCCAGCTGCTATTGACTCCCACGGCTGTCCCATCTCCATGGCGGCAGTCTGCCATCTCTCTCCCAGGGTACAGATGGAAGGTTCCAGCCTGTGATATGAACCACGGTGTCCCCAGGACTCCCCATCACACTCTGGGTGGGAAGATGGCGTGTAGATTATAGGACTCAAACCCCTGCCGTCAAGTCCCAGCTACCTGGCCCAGCCCCTCCGTTAACTCAAAGCACCAGCGAGGTCCACCTGACTAGACTAGTAAATGCCCTCAAAAAAAAAAAAGAAAGATCACCCGGTTCCTTCTTAGAAATCATAGACAAGTCCAGCCCCCAGAGGCTGCTCTTCAGAACCTTGAACACATTTTTTCGACTTCACCCAGCTTTTCTTGTGACTGGTCTGCTGGTCCAACAGAAGGCCCTTCTAAGTCAACACCACTCTCTAAACATTGATAGAAGCCTTACAAAATATACAAGACCAGGTTTTGTTTTGTTTTTTTAATCCTACAGCCTCTTGGGGCAAAATGTGGGCACAGAGGGATGAGGAAAAGGCTGGCTGTCTTCAGCCTCCTGCTGGTGCTAGTCCTGGGGCCGAAGCCTTGATGAAGGGTTCTTGCAAAGTCACGGGTTTGCACTGACCACTCCTCCACACGTCTCCTTGGACTTGAGTTCTCACGTTTATGTATTCCCACCGCGCCTGGCCCGGTGGTCTCCCAGTCTTGTATTCACCATCACATTAGAAGTCAGGACTAGAGCTGAGGGGTCAATCTCCCATGAAATCCCATGTTGTTTCCACCTGCCCTTTCTGTTCTACCCAACCACCTATCAGTACACCTTCTTTTCAACCACCCTCCTTTGCCTTTGCAGATTTGGCTGTGTGCAGCCAACACCCCACCACCACAACCTCCATGGCTGGGGCACCCGAGTGCTTCTGTGAACCCCGAAGCCCTCCAGTCAACCCAGGCTGAGGAAAGGCTGGGGGAGAAAACCAGCCCTGGGGCAGGGTGTCTGCAGCCTGTCTGCAGCAGCGCTGCTCCTTGCGGGTCTTGGGCTTCGGGCAGAAAGCAGAAGTCCCAGGCCCACCCTGGGAAGGATGGTTCTGAAAACCCCAACAGCTCTCTGGAGAAGACAGCAGGTTCTTTCTCCAGCCAGACAAAACCAAGATGGCTGCTATCAACAGGAAATTAATTTTATTCTTAAATCCAAGAGGTCAGGCCTAATATGGGCTTCCTCCCCTTGGCTGGCAAACTTAGGTGGCCAACAGAGTAGAGGTGGGACAAGATGACAGTGGGGCATGAAGAACACAGCCGACAAAACCGTGGCCTGTTCACTCTGGAGCCGGCTCCATCAGATACCCGTTCTCCGGAGCCATGTAGCCCTCGCCCCCCTCAGACTCCATGTACACGTCTCGGCCTTCGTTGCCCAGACCCTCCAGCCCGTTGTCCTGGCTGCCCCCTCCAGCGCCACCGCCGCCGCCGCCACCTCGGGCCTCATCCCTGCCCCGCTCCCCGCCCCGCTCCCCTCGCTTGTGCTCGCGGTCACGATCCCGATCCCGATCCCGGCGGCGTTCACGTTCGCTCCGGTGACTCCGGCGTCGTTCCCGGTCTCGATCCCTGCCCTTCTCCTCGGGGCCGTCGGGGCCATCGGGACCAAGCTCCCCGGGAGGCCCGTCATCAGTGGGTGCATCGCCGGCCTCGGAGGGCTCCGCGATGTCGCCTCCGCCCCCGCCCCCGCGCAGCTCCTCCTTGCGCTCCCGCTCCCGCCGAGCCCGCTCACGGCTGCGGCTGCTTCTCCGCTTGCGGTCCCGGTCCTTGTCCTTGCTGCGTTCCCTGGAGCGCCTCCGCTCCTCCTTGTCTCGACTCCGGGAGCGTCGCCGCCGGTCGCGAGAGCGGGAGCGTCGTCGTTCCCGTTCCTTGTCTCGCTCCCGGCTGCGTTCTCTACGCTCCCGCTCGCGGTCGCGGTCCCGGTCCCGGTCCCTGTGGGGAAGTGGGGAGGGGCCGGGCCTAGATGAGGGGCGTAGGTGTGCAGCTGGGCTCCCCCGCGTCACCACCCCGCCCTGAAAGCCTGGGTGCCCAATTCTCACCTCTCATCGTAGCGGGAGGTATCATCTCGGCCTGAATGCCGGATGTTCACGTCGGCCCCGCCTCTCCGGGTACCACCTAGGCCACCTCCTGGGGGGCGGGGCAGAAAGAGGGTCAGTAGGGTAAAGGAAGGGCACCCAGGGGTGGAAATGAGGGGTATCGTAGTGCAGAGCGAGCGCAAGCCCACCATCGCTACTGGGCCCCATGACCATATGGGGTGGTCTGTCCCCGTCACACGACACCTTGGTTGAAGTGTTTCCCCCAGTGATGGGTCAACTTGGCTGGGACTTGGTCCTCAGGGGTGTGGCAGTTATGGAGGGAGGTTAATCACCCCCAAGGATGCAATCTATTTGGAGCAGCCAGTAAGTTATAAGGGGATTATCGGAGGTTACACCTCCCTTACTTGGGTCACAACCCCTGATCCAACTTAAGGGGGTCGGGGGCTTCCCTGGGGCATGGCCTACACCATCCTTGACCTCACAGAGAAATGAGCAGAGGAGGGAGGGGCCTCAGGACAAGCATGAAAAAAGCGCTGGGCGAGAACATGCTCTGTGGCCCCAGGGTGCCTGTGCTGAGAACCTCCTAGGCCAAGGGGAAGACTGGCGCGAATCCTCAACGTGGGGATCTATAAAAATGCCAGATCTTCCCCAAAAGCCAACCAGAGCAAACCATGCCCTAGAGCTGGGTGCCATGCTCCCCAACTTCTAGCTTCACACACAGCGAGACGACACGGGTGTTATGTTCTAACAACTCCAGTGTGCAGACAGACCACCACACCATACAGCTGTCAAGGGAGCCGTTAAGAAACGTCCCTAGAGCACCATCTCCAGACGAGGATCACCGACAGATGACGATGACGCAGCACCCAACGAGCACCGCACTCCAGAGTGGGGCGCAGCTGCTCCTCAGCCTCCCTGGAGCCACCCTGGTCTTCCTGCTACAGACGACAGGTCTGCAGAAACGCTTCACCAACTCTCACCATCACAAAGTCCAAACTCCTGACCAAGGCTCCAAGAGCTAGCCCCGGCCCAAACCAAGGGCCCTTTCCAATCTCCTCCCCACAGTGGTTCTGCCCACACACTGGCACCCCTCCACCCAGCGGGAACCACAGGCACCCTAGGCTATTCAGCTCTGACACGGGAGCTCAAACACCAACTCCTGAGAAAACTTTCTCTGCCGGGCAGGCTAGGTCCACCCCGCCACCATCAACCCTTCCTCCCCAGAAGGGACAGGTTTTAGGGTTTACACCCATGCTTCCAGGCATTCGTGCAGAAACCCCATTTTCCCAGAGGCCTTTGGAAGCCTCCTGCCCACCTGGCCAGGATGTAGTGCACCATGAAGGAAGGACGACGTCTGGGTTTGCTCACTGACCAGCACGGGCAGCACCAGGGGACTACCTTAAGGGACATTCACATTTGGCAGAGAAAGTCTCCTGGTTCCAGGTACTTTGGTGAGGAAGATTCCAGAAGCAATCTGTCCAACACAAAGTGCTGAGGAAAGCCGCTGAACCATGAGGGTGAGAAGGCTATGAGGCAGCTTGGCCACTAATCATCAGCCAAAAAAGCCAAATACCCACTGTTGTTGGAGCAACGTTCTGGAGGAAGAGTAAGAGTCTGCGAGGCTGGAAGGCAATGGACTGCTGCAGCTATCCCCTGCCGAGCAAGCAGTGGGTGGTTCAAACTACAGACCTTCAGTTAGCAGCCAGACACTTAACCACTGTGCCGCCAGGGCTCCTGCGACCAGTTTAGAAACATCCCAATAGGGAAAGGCCAAGCAGCAGCCAGTGAGAGGAAATGAAGGGGGCGGGGCAGGCCCCCTCCTGCCCAAGCCTGAACTAGGTCTGGCACAGCTGGTGAGCAAATATTCCCAGAATCAGAGAATGAAAAAGCAGCGTGGACACAAGCGCAGCCCAAGAAGAGGAGCGCAGCATCACCAGGCCGGCTCCACGCCAAACCCCTTCCGAGGGCAGGAGGCGGCCAAATCAGCCAGCTGGGGGCACTGTGGCCAGCAGTGGTGGCCAGCTGGAGTCTTCCAGCCAGCGTTCATGGGTTAACAGCCCCCCCCTAAAATAGGATGTGCCGAGTGGCTGGACAGATGAAATGGCAGGCAGGGGACTCACCCAGCCTCCGGGGCCGCCAGCCCTTCACAGTTCGGCCCCTTTCCACGTCGACAAGGACCCTCCGGCCATCAATCTTCTTGCCGTCTGCGTGCTTGTAAGCGGCTGCAACAGACGTGGGGGGAAGGGGAGGAGTCCCCAGAGGGTTCTCTAGTCAGGAGAGGGCCCCACTGGGCCACCTCCCCACCCTGTCACCACCAACGCACACACTCACGCACACCCACCAGTCAGGCAACCAACAGCCAGATCACCGTCTCCCAGCCCAGTGAGGGGGCTGCTCCATCTTGGCTTTCCTGTTCCTCACCCCCAACTGTGATTGGGGGGGAGGGGGGCTAAGACCTGCCCTCTAGTCCATCCCAACCACTTGGCCCCCAGCCCTCCCAGCTCCCCCCGACAGAGCAGCCCCCTCCCGCCAAGGCGGCCAAAGTTGCTGCAAAGAAACCGGAGGTTAACTCAGTGCTGGGCTCTGTGGGGGGCCCCCGGGGGGCTCCTGCACAACCCGGGCATGCACCCTAACCAGCATGCTGGGGCAGGAGGCCGGCCGTGAGCCAGCCACTCCACACCCCAGCCACCACCGCTCGCTCTCTGGCTTCCTCTGGGAGCGGGAGGGTGAACATGGAGCCATCAGAACAGACAGCGAAGAGAGAATGCAGCAGAAGGGGGAAGAGTCCTCCCCATGGCAGGGTGCAGACACTCCTGAGGGGGGCCTGAAGGGGCCCCCACAGCAGGGTAGGGGAATGGAGCAGGGCAAGGCTACTACAACTCCTGCCTTACCTGAGACGACTAACCCTGCCTGCCTGCCCGTCCTCTCCCTCGCTGCCCCCCAGCTCAATCAACGCTGGTAGGGGAGCCCCGAGCGCCTCAGGGAGCAGGGGACAGAGGGGGAGACGAGGGGAGAAGCATGGGCCTGCTCTTGTCAGGGTGCCCTGGTACCCTAGGCCATCACCAGGGGAAATCTGGATGAAGGGCAAGCAAGCCCTTGCTCCCCCCACACCCTGGCCTGGGGTGGGGGGTGGGGGTCCTCTACCAACCCCAATCCCCTGCCCGCTCCCAGCCCGCTCCCCCCATAACAACCAGAGGAAGAGAAAAAGGTGCCATTTACCGATGCCAGCCTTGCGGGCGTCCAAACCGAGCGGGGTGGGGGGGGCTCGGCAACTCCTGGGGGCCTGGCGAGGAGGCGGGCTTCCCGGGGGGGACTCGGGACCGCTTACCTGGAGCCCCCAAGCTTACCTGAGCACGCGCACAGACCCCACCTCAACCCCGCCACAGGTCAGCTACAGCTACAGGGAGGGGAAGTGGAGACTCTAGGGGAGCCTAGGGGGGGGGAAGTCAGGGCCACACCTGTAGCGCCTGGAGACAGGCGGGGGGCAACTGTGGGTCCGAGCCCATATGGGTGCAAAAACTCAGACCAAACCCGAGAGTGGGCAGCCCTGGGGCCTGTGTTCACAGAGAGGGCTGGCACAGTCCAAGAAGCCACCAGCCTTCATCCGCTCCCCCCTCATCCCACTGCACAAGGCATGTTTTCGACCTGGTTGTGGGAGGATGATGCCCCCCCACATGCCACACTCCCTTCCCCGCCTGCCTCACCCGAAGGTCGGCACGCGGGGGCTTGGGGTTTAGGAGACTGAGTGCTGCCTGAGGTCGGGCAGGGAGGGGCCACTTGGCCCCTGAGCCCAGAAGAGGGGTGGGGGAAGGCATCCAGGCTGGGGGCCACGACAAACCCAGGAAGCCTGCTCTGGTTCATGTCCCCACCCCAGAAGAGGCCCAACCCAGTGACAGCAAAGGAGACAGGCGGTATGTCCTGCAGGCGGCTCTCTCTCTCTCTCTCTCTCCCTCGCTAAGTCTCTTTACTGCACAGGGCCACAGCCCGGGACCATGGCACCGCAGCGACCTGCGCTACCTCCTGACCCCACCCTGCCCCCAACGCCAGGCCCCTCGGGGGCGGCTGGCACCAGCGCCAGCCCCCCAGGTCAGTAAGGCAGGGAGGGGGCAGAGTATTGTGCACCTAGCAGCCTAACAGCCCAAGGAGTGGGGCGCCTGTGACAGCCCCACGGGAGCCGGTAGACAGGGGGTCCAGGGTTCCTCCCAGAGCCCTGGCCTGGCCCCTGGGGTTCAGCTCTCCCCACCCAGATCCTGAGCAAGCAGCTGGGTGGGTCGGAGGCAGTGAAACCGACTGGAGAGGCAGTGCCTTCCTCATCAGGGTTCACCCCCTCCGGGGACCAGCAAGGGCCTCCTGAGAGCAGCTGGCTCTGGGGCAGAAGGGGCCGAGGGCACCCAGAGGAGGAGGGCTCTGGGTGTGGGGAGGCAGGGGCGGCGGGAGGGGGCCTCGCTGCTCCTGCGCTGCCTGGCTAAGCTGGGCTGGTGTGCGGTGCTGAGCGAGCTTACCCATGATACAAACCCTTATACCAACCATACACTGAGGTGTTGTAAGGGGAGCGTAAGCATCAGCTGCAAGCCAGCTGCGTGGTGGCTGCAGTGACAATAAGAACAGTCAATTAATACGGCGGCCCCTGGACACGCCGCAGCCCTGCCCGCCCGCCCACCCAGCCCTGCCCGTGTGGCCGCCGCAGCCTCAGGGGGGCTTCAGGGGTGTGGGGCAGGCACTAAGAACGCCCACCGTCCCACTGCCCGCCAAGGAACAGGGTGGGGGGTGGAGGGTCAGGTGGCCTCACCCAGGTGGGCTGTGGGGGAAAGAGGACAGGTTCAAAGGCCAGTCCTCATCCCACGATGGCCGCCCCTACTCTGGGGAAGTGGGGAGGAACAACGGGGAAAGAAGCTCCCCGAGGGTCCACCCCGCCCCCCCACCTCCAGTTCACCCCAGCCCCCACCCAGTTCCCTCTGTGCCAAGGTCCAACGTGTGACACTTACCTCCCCAGGATCACACACACACACACACACACATACACACATTGTGGGGGGTTTTGGTTTGTTTTTAAAACACACATATATTAAAAAAAAAAACAACAACAAAAAACAAGATATCAGAACAAAGGGAAGCGGAGAAGAGACACTGCTCAGGTCAGGTCTGGGGACAGACGACCGTGGGAGGGGCAGCGGAGGAGGGGCAGCAGTTGGGCGCGCAACTCACAGTGCATGTCCCGCTCGTGCTCGTACTCGATGAAGGCGTAGCCTCGGGGCTTCCCCGACCTCTTGCTGTAGACCATGTGGATCTGCGGACAGGGAAGCCACTAAGGGGGGCAGCCTCCCCGGCCCCTGCCCCCAGGGAAGGACACTCAAGCCCAGATCCAGAGTGCAGATGGGGGCTTAAGAGGAGGGCTGGCCAGCAGAGTGGCAGCAACTAGCCATGCATCTCCAGGATTGGGGGGCTGGGTGGGATGCTGAGGTGTCCCTCTGTCTAGCTGGAAAGGACTCTAACCATGGAGGACCCAAGTGGGCTAGGCCAGGTGGCCTCTGGGGAGGTGACATGGGGCCACTTGGAGGAATAGATGGCTGCCAACAGGAGAGGAGAGGGTGGTGGGGGCGTGGCCCAGGAGGCTGTAAGGAGGAGGCACTCGGGAGCCAGCAGAGGCAAAGCGGACTCAGAGAAGGCTCTCCAGTGATGAGAGCTTGGGAGCTACTCTCTGAAGGACGGCCAATTATTAGGGGACTTTGTGGGAAAATTCAACTTCTCCACAAACTACCTGAAGCCCCTCTCCCCATCTCCGGGGTGCAAGGCCTGTGCTCCAACTAGCTGGGGAACAGCCTCTGGGCCATGCTCCAACAGAGCATCAACCCTGGGCCTGGCAGTTCATGTGCCTCAGGCCCTCAGGCCCCAGGACAACCAGCAAGGAGGTGACTCTCCCATTTGAGATGAGGCTTGTTTACAAGGGGCACAGTAAGAGAGTGACAAGAAGGGGGACCCTCAGTTAAAACAGGGAGTGGCATACCTCTCCTATAAAGGCCAACCCCACCCCACTCCATGGCCATCAGGCTATTTCGACGGAGAGCCAACAACAAAGGCTCAGAGCAGCGAGACACTGCATGGCTGCAGACCAGATCATCTGTGGGAACCACTCAACCCTGCCTCACATCCAGCGCGCAGCCCCACACAAACTACAGGTGGGTGTGGTTGGGTGCCAGCAGGCGACCGAGCCCTGGTGGGCCCCTGTCAGCAGTCTCTTTGTTGAAGAGATACCCCCCCATACCCCCCTACCATTCATTCTGACCCACTTACTCTTTTGATGGGTCCATACACTTCAAACTCTCTCCGGAGTTTGGATTCTGTCGTGTCGTAGTTCTGCAAGATGACAGATACGGTATCATTGGGAAGTACGGTCTCAGGACCTGCTGAGCATACCGGGCCCCAGCCTGCTGCCCACGATCTTGGACACTTACCACTCTCGCCACGAAGAGCGTCTTGAAAGCATCCCCCTGAGCATTGGGGTCGTTGTGTGGGTCCCCTGTGAGGGAAGAGGAGTCTGTGAGGAGCAGGCAGTCACAGTGTTGGGGAGCAGGGCAGAGCGAGGAAAGTAAGAACCAGCCCAGAGCTACAGGTCCCAAGGGGCAGGAGTAACACCTTGGAACCCCCTGCTCGAGGCAGAGCCAGCCTTCAGGAGGGTGACAGATCTGGTGGCTGCCTCCAGGACAGATGGCAGGAGGCCACTCCATGGTGGCCCAGACCTAGAACTACTAACCATAAGGTGGATGGTTCAAACCCACCAGACGCTCAGAAAAAGAGTCTATCTGTTCCTGTAAAGACTTAAGTTAAAAAAAATAAAGAAAGAATAAATTTTTTAAAGACTTAAGTCTTGGGAACGCCAAGAGTGAAGTTCTACTCTGCCCAGTAGGGTTGCTGTGAATCAGAATGGATTCCCCAGGAACCAGCTTTTAACCCAGGTAAGGAGCACCATCCCTCAATATGGGGCCACAGTGCCCCCCACTGGGCACAGACTGCAACTGCACACAGCAGGAAACCTAAGACCCAGGCACCATGAGGAAGCTGAGGGAGCCCCAGTGCTGGCACCAGAGCTAGGACAGAAGTGACTGGCATCGGCCAGAGAGAGCTACAAGGCAAGAACTTGTCCCATCTGGCCACCCAGTAATAACTTCCTAGGATGGGCCAGGAAGCCATTTGAAACCCAGTCCCCAGAGGTAATTCAATGGGTCAGGTCCATAAGAAAGTCTCTTCTCCCAAGCCTGGTGGCCCCAAGGACTCCCGTACCCAACCCACTCCCCACCCATCACTGCACAGCAGAGTAGACAAATCTTTGTTGGCAACCTTCCATGCCATCGCAATACCCTGCAGAGGGTGCCTGAGAACAAGGTGGTCTGGAGCCAACTTGGAGGATGCCCAGAACCGACTTGTTGGCTCCTTCCAACAAAGTCCCTTGCTCCCGGGCAGATGAGCCCTGCAGAGTGACCATGAGGCCCAGCCCAGCTCTAAGTGCCAATCTGAGCTCCATCCAGTCTTGCGCTTTCCCGCTCAGGACACCAGCTTCGCAGGAAGACAGCTCAAGGTGTTAACAGGAATCCTGAGAAGAAAGGTCACTGACCTTTCTGACTATCACTGCTCTGATAGTCTGGCCAGTCATGGCCAGGACAGCATGCAGGAGACAACAGCAACCAACAGGCGGCGGTGCGCTGCTCAGAGGGAAGTGATGGTGTGTCAAAACCACCACCCACAGCAGGAGGCTGTTAGTGGCCCTATGGCCCTGACAGGCACTCCACATGGCCGTGGCCCTGGATTTCGCCAGCCACAGCTGAACTTTGCGGAATAGGTTCAAAACCCAGCTGCGCAGGCACATCAAGGGGCCTTTAAGGGACTTCTCCAAGAAGCCGTGATGGCCACCCTGCAGACAGCTCCACCTTGGCTGTCCCAGGTCCTGCCCACCCCCCACCCCTCAGCACAGCCACTTTCTGTGTGCAGATTCTCTGCCACACCAGGCCTCTAACTCTGGCACTCATTCGTTCTAAGGTGTATTTGTTAAGTACCTATTATGTGCCCGGGAACAAAGACAGAGAGAACAAAGGAGGGCAGTTCTACCCTGTCCTATAGGGAGTTTGGTTTTGGTTATGTGACTGGTGATGAACTGACCAAAACAGTCTCTCCATCACAGGGCTGAGGGTCCAATGGGGGGGCAAGCCTAGTTGACAATAAGTCAGTCACATGGCTCTTTAAGACAGGGCAGATTTTAATTTGCTCAAGAAACAGCCATCAGTCTTGATGCTGACATCAACTGACAGTCTTGAGGAGGAGCCAG